TACCTATGATAATAGTACTTATGCTCTAGAATTGTTACAAGAATTATGAGATGTGAGGTATAGAAAGTTGCTAGAATTTTCTCTATCAAAAGATTTTGTTCTAGTTATGATTTTTATTTAATATTCTCCCACCCAACAAGAAAAAAAGTCACTCAGTAAAAACTACTTTTATTAAGACTTTGAGCTTATCCAATGAAAAATATTTTTCTTTTATAAATACTACTCATGATCAAATAATGGCTGGAAAGTTCTTGGAATTCTCTTCCCTTTGTGCATTATAGCCACATATGGTAAAGTTTGGGGAGAGTAAAACTCTATTCTGCTCTTCATTTTATTATTTGATGATTATTTAGCTCCCAGGAGTGTCTGATCTTGTCCATCTCAGCACATGGTGTCTGCTTCGTGGAGAGCTATGGGAAAAAACTGTACACCCCTCCTTCTTATCCTTAGCAAGTAAAGATCTCTGGCTCAGTGACAAGTTTTTGTGCCAGCACAGTCTTGTGCAGAAAGATCTGAGAATCAGGGGGCCTGAATTCAAGTTCAAGCTCAGTCACTTTCTCGCTGCATGTCCTTGAACAAACTATTTAACTTTTCCAACACTACATGAAGTAGATGTTGTGGGGCCTCTTCTTTTTCCTTTGTAGGATTATTGAATCCCTCACAATGACTGAGAACAATTATAAAACACTAAGGAATTAGGTCACTTTGTATCATTATGGCAGACTTAATTGATATTATAAAGATATAAATACTAGGGCCCATGACAAGATAATGAAATAATAAGTAATATTTTATGAGAACAGGTTAATTTTGATAAACAAGCCTTGTATAGAGGCTGAACAATTGATGTCATTCTTCTTTCATTAAAAAACTAACTGGAGTACTTTCTTTAAAAATTCTATTGCTGGGGCTGGGGATTTAGCTCAGCAGCACAGCGCCTCCCCGGCAAGTGCAAGGTCATGAGTTAGGTTCCCGGTACCGGAAACCACCATCCCCCCAAAAAATCCTATTGCTCCTCCTTTTCATTATGTTAACATTCAGAACTCCTCCAAATTTAAAGTTTCCAAAACAGATTTGTTTCAAAGGCCCTCTGCTCCTTTGTTCTATAGCTCTGAAATGGTGAGAGCACATTCTAGAATCTGACTCTGACAACAGAGAAGTCTAGACAAATGCGGAGTATATGTGTGTGGTGGTTAGAAAAACAGTTCAGGACAACATTGAACAGCTCAGGACTCTAAAGCAAGACTGCAAGAGTTCAAGTCCAAACCAATTCTGTAATTCTGAGTACATAACCATAACCAGCTTCTCGGAGCCTCAGTTTCCTCATCTACAAGAGGATTGCAGATGGTGTTTTCCTGTCTCTGTATTCTTATCACCTGCCATAGTCCCTACTCCAAGAACACACTGGTAAGGCTGCTGTCTAAAATAAAAGCCTTGATTTACAGGATTTGCTGATTTCTGTAGTATAAATACCAACACCATGACTGGCATCAAGCTACCAATAGTCTAATACTTGACCTGCCAAATTCCTGAATATTTATCAGTCATCTCTCATGCCCCTGTGTGAACTGGCATAAGCACATGAACACCATTACTCAGTCAGTCAGTGTGGATGTGTTAACCACTCAAGCCACTTGCTCTATCAAGCTGTATTAGATGTCCCACAAATGATAATGAAAATGACAAAATGCAGAAGGGAAATATACATGAGTAAAAGCACATTAGAGGTAGTGTCTTGTTTTAAATTCTGATTTGTCAAAGCATGGAAACATCAAATTGTTTCTCTGCTCTCAAATAAGGTATTAGTTGCATGTCCCAGGATACAATCCCAGTTTTCATGACAGTAATTCAGATGACCCTATTTCCAGACAGCCCACCTTTGTCCCTCCCCAGACTCCAGCTGCCTCTGGTTTAATTTTATTTGAGAAATTGTCAGAGGCCTGCCAAATCTGAGCTGGGGAGTTCATTCACCTTGTCTTAGCCCCTTCCTAACCTCCTTCCTGCCTCATCACGGATATATGTTCCATATTCTTGTGCAGTGGCTGTCCCACCCCTGCCCTTAGTCTAAAAAAAGAGGAATCTAATTCTCCCTAACACATTACTGTATCCCTAAACAATATGTCATTCTGATCACGAATAGCCAGGTGTTATACAAGGAAGCATTTTTCCCAATCCTAGCTTTCAACAATTCCCAGTTCCGTTAAAGTGAGCAACTTCCTAAATTTGGAGGAAAAACCAAAATCAGCATAATTTGAAGCAGCCATACTTCCTCTTGCTGCCTCCTACCTATAGAATTCTGGCTGGCTTTTTGGACAGTTGGTATCAACACTGTGGATTCAATACAACATCCATGAGAATACTGTACATGCTATTTTGGTCTATAGATTTTTAACTACCTTATATGTATAGCAATCAATCTATAAGATCCCAGCATCAGTCACTAACCACTTAGCCCAAGACTCTGTAAGAGTGAGAATGATTCTTTACAGTATTTACAAAATATCTTAGGAAGAAAGAAACCCTCACTGCCCATTTTAAGGTAATGGTGGTCAATTGCTATCACAACCCCACTGTCATGGAAGTAAAAGGGTTTTAAATAAGTCATAAGCCTTAAAAAGACAGGAGAATTGGAAAAGACACAGAACCAACACAATTTGGAGATGGAAGAGAGAGAGACAGGTGGGGAGGAAGAAGAAAGAGGGCAGGAGAGGAGGGAAAAAGAAAAGAGAAGCTCCAAGAGACACAGGCAAAAGGGAAAGCCTGAATCCACACAGGCAAAAGGGAAAGCCAGGAACAGAAGCCCAAAGATGCAGGAATTGGAAGCATCAGCCTCTTCTGAGGAGCAGGAAATAGAAGGGTTTTGTATTTGTCTGTTTTCTGGTACTAAAATCAAATATCTGAAGCTATATATTTTATAAAGAAAAGTGTACTGAGCTGACAGTTCTGGAGGTCTAAGGGAATAGTGCCCGCATTGGTTCAGCTCCGCCGAGTACCTCAGGGCAGAGACACTTTGGGAGCACAAGAGAGAGACAGAGAGTGAGAGCGAGAGAGAGGGATCACATGACAAGAGAGAAGCCAGAGTGCAGCTGGAGTTCCATGAGAACATTCATCCCTTCAGTGGCCTAACATCTCACTATGTCTCACATCTCAAAAGTTCAACAACCTCTTCACGTCTCCAAAATGGGAACCAAGTGCCCAACAACTTTAGGTACACACTTAGATCATATCCAACCCACAGGAGGCTTAAAATAAGAATTGGCCAAAAGCCTGTTTAGGAGGCAGGTAGAATGGATCTGAACTCTCCGCAAGCACCCCTCCTCCTCTACCACCGAAATCCCCCAATGTTAGGATCCACATCATCATCCTGTATTTAAGCAGGTGATAAGTGGTTGCTAGAGAAACTGACCAACCTAAAGGTACCTGTTTCTCAGTTAATGAGGCCTACTCATATGCTCAGCATTTCCCATTAGAGTTCCAGTGTTTTAGTGCCCCACCCTTCATTATGAGCTTGTAAATGAGAATTTGCCAAACTAGTAAGGAAATCCTCTAACTTGAAAGTTAGATAATGCATCAGGATTCACCAGTAAAACAGAATTAACAAAAGACTATCAGACATAGGCCTCAAGACAGATTTCTCCAAGGGGCTGGAAGTACAGGTCACCAAGGGTAACTCAACCAGGCAGACCTAGTTGATGCAAAGTTTGGAGTTCAGCTAGCAATGCATATTCAGAAAATGAGCAGTCCAAAACAGAATAATGTTTAACTCCAGGAAAAACAAGAAGTTATGCATAAAAATAATCGTACTTCACTATATATCTTAGCTGTAACTAGTATTTCACACTTAATTGCAATAAGACAAATACTGGTTCTTCTTTTCTTAATATTTACTCTTATTAGGTCATGTTTCCAGTACTAATGATTACATTAATCTTGGAGAGGTGATACATGTGCATAACACATTTCAATATCACCAGTCCTGAGTATTGATTTAACCAAAATTTCAATAATATGATCTACAGGGAGGTAGGGCTATCACAAAAACACCCATTTGTGGTGGAGCTGAAGGTTTCCAATAAGATATATATGGTAGAATGTCAACAGAAAATGCCTAAGACTGACATAGGCATTCACAAAATGAAATAATCACAAAATAGCAAAATTGCACAGAAGGAAATACTGACATATAAAAGGATGCCAAGGTATGAGAAGGTGAAAATGATTTATTTTATAAAATAAAACTGTATGTGTCTACTATATGCAGGTATAATTTTAACAACAACAACCAAAAGCAATGAATCTTAGCATTTTTTTGTGAACAGGAAATAAAAAGATAATGCTGCTTCCTCTTAGAATCTCATGTCATCTGATACTTAATGTTCTCTGTGGTGAGGATATTAGTATGCATTTCTGCATAATGAGTTTCTGAATAAAGAAAGTAAAAATGATGCAAAAATCAGGATTTTAATAGGGGAGCTAGGTGAAGGCGGGAATTCTCTGATTACCAAGTGCATGTGTCAACCTGAGTTCCCAGTGAGTTTTGAAATAGGCTCCTTGTACCTTGCTCTCCCTTCACTTCCTCTCTAGGTTGGGGTTTCATTCTTAGCTGAGGTGAAAGGACACAGGGATAGAGGGGCCGAGAAAGGAGGGAGCCTGGTACCAAGGGGACACTGTTCCCACTGCTCTTTACAGGAGCACAAGGTAGAGAAAACGTCTTTCCCTATCTTGGTGTCTGCTCTGGGAATCTATCCCTTGCATGTCTCTTACAAACTCAGTAGCATTCGTTACATAGTTAATTGGGTAGATTTTTGTCAACTACTCAGGAATTGTAACATGGCATTTTTGTGGCAAAATATGTTCCAAATAACTGACTTGCCAGTCATCTTTGGAAGCTGGGCTCTGCATAAGATACGGCTCAGCAGAGAACCAATGGGCCATGTTGTGGCTGCACCCAGGAGTACCAGCAGCAGGACCTGCGGCTCATGAGGCCTCTGTTTCCCCAGGCTACCAGTGCACCTGTCTCTCCCAATTCACGGGGAGAAACTGTGAGTCTGAGATCACTGCCTGCTTCCCAAACCCCTGCCGGAATGGAGGAGCTTGTGACCCGATAGGAAACACTTTCATCTGCAGTTGTAAAGCCGGACTCACTGGAGTCACGTAAGTGAGACTGTGTTATAGCCTCTCTCTACACTGCTGTCTGTTGCTAGGAAAATAAAGCAGTAGGCAATTCGTTGGGATTAAATGTTTACCACTGATATGACCTACGTAGCGTTAATGTCTTTACTATATAAGGAAGACTCACAAATGACTAATATGTTCATAAGGATTAAATCTGGGTACTGTGGTTATGGGTATAGTTGTACTGTTTATTCTATACCTATCTATATTTTCAAAATTTTGTAGCACTGTTGTGTATTTTGTAATTTAAAAAAACACAGTTCTTTTAAGGAAAGTCACCTAATATTACCAGTATAATTCTAAGGCAAATATACTGCCCATTTCCCCAGACTCCATGAACTGGACTCTACTGCCCAGTGTTCTGTGATCATGCTGAGAAACTAAACCTTCCCTTCGCTTTGCAAACCTTTTCTTCCTCCAAGAAACGAGTGAAAGTAAAGTGTTCGCCAAATGGGAAGGGAAGGTTTGAAATTCTTAGTAAAATGTCACTTTCAACCATCCTTGATTGTTTTAGAAATATATATATATGTAATCTCAAGCAAGTGATACTCTAATTACAGATCAGTCTTATGTATTCATTAGAGCAAATCTCCTGAGGACTTCACCAGGAAATACTTAGCTGACTTTGAATTGCTGGATGTAATTTAAAGTAATAAAGCTGCATTTATTTTTAAATACTTTGTGATTCTAACTAATTTCCGGCTGACCTGGCCTCAATCTGTTCAAATTAGGGACGTCTGATTACATTTTAAAAGGGGGATTACCAAAAATGTAAGTGATTGGGCTTTTTAAATGAACATATCAGAGCAATTGCTGAAGTACAGAGGAGTAAGGAGGGAAAGACAGCCTGCTTTCAGAGAGTGTTAGGGTCAGAAAGAAGAAAGACTTGCTTGTTCTAATTGGTAAACACAAAATGAGTCATGGATTCCTTCAAAGGGAATAAAATTAATTTAATTATTTTTCATTAGACTGTTTTAGTCATTTCCCCCCTCATAATCTGCATTAGCCCTAGACATTAGCATAAGCATAGAATCTAATGCTTCTATGCTCATAAGCATAGAAGCTATGTAGCTCTCCATCCACCTCCCTGGCCTTGGAGCTCCCAGCTTCCCAGAGGGAACAAGGTTACTGTAATCATTAAAGGAAAATGTCAGAACCAAAATTTTTTTTCCCTCTCAAAAAAACTCTATAACGGGCATATAGGATCACAGCTCTCTATCTGCAGCTCTACAATCTCAGAAGCTCTGAGAAGGAAAATGGCTTGGCATGCATTAGGGGCAAACTAATTTAGTGGCAAAACCTGTCCGAAACTGCTCTGAGGCTCTTTCTAGTCTGTAGTTCTCTCATTTAGTGTGAATATCCATATGTTTCCCTGCAGGAACACTAGTATGTTTGATTATGAGGTCCTATGCTAGCACCAGGTCCCACTGGAGGGTAGGAGTATTTTACATAATGTGAAAAATATGCACTACATGTCCTTTTTAAAATTGCACATTTTAAATTCGGATACACACCTGGCTCTGAGGATTTGGAACCTTATTACGTTTTCCATTGCATCTGTTCTTTCTTTTCTCTCCCACAACACTCTTGCTTCTTCCCATCCGGTCGGGGTGAAGACCTAGAACAGACTGCCTTGGTAGGAACACGTTTACTCAAGACAATGCCTGGAAGCCCTGGGGCCAAGGAAGCGCCTAAGTTAACACCCCCACACATACACATGCACACTCCCGGCAGCGTGTGCACTCTTCTCGCTTGAAGAGAGCCCTTGCTTCTGGCGCCCCAGCGCACCGGTGGATGCCCGCGGGTCCTGACCTTGGGGCGGGCTTCTTTGTGTTCTCCCCCTAAAGGTGTGAGGAGGACGTCAACGAGTGCGAACGAGAGGAGTGTGAAAACGGGGGCGCCTGCGTGAACGTGTTCGGCTCCTTTCTGTGCAACTGCACGCCCGGCTTCGTGGGCCAGTACTGCGGGCTGCGCCCCGTGGTGGTGCCCAACATCCAGGCGGGCCATTCCTACGTGGGCAAGGAGGAGCTCATCGGGATCGCCGTGGTCCTCTTCGTCATCTTCATCCTGATCGTGCTCTTCATCGTCTTCCGCAAGAAGGTCTTCCGCAAGAACTACTCCCGCAACAACATCACGCTGGTGCAGGACCCCGCCACGGCCGCGCTGCTGCACAAGAGCAACGGCATCCCCTTCCGCAGCCTGCGCGGGGGCGACGGGCGCAACGTCTACCAGGAGGTGGGGCCCCCGCAGGTGCCCGTGCGCCCCATGGCCTACACCCCCTGCTTCCAGAGCGACTCCAGGAGCAACCTGGACAAACTCGTGGACGGGCTGGGCGGCGAGCACCAGGAGATGAGCACGTTCCACCCCGAGTCCCCGCGCATCCTGACGGCCCGGCGGGGCGTGGTGGTGTGCAGCGTGGCCCCCAACCTCCCGGCCGTGTCGCCCTGCCGCTCGGATTGCGACTCCCTCCGGAAGGACGGCTGGGACGCTGGCTCCGAGAGTGAGTAGGGGAGCAGCTCTAGGGCGCTGGCTCTGTGGAGGATAGGGGAGGGGAGGGGAGGGGAGAGCCGCCTGCCCTGAGCGTTCAATTTCCACGTGCCAGAGGGCGTCTTCGCGACCACCCCGAAAAACTAGTACAGTTCTAACTCCACTCAAGGGGGGGGGGGGAAATGAGCCTCGGGGGGTAATTTAATGTCTCACCACAGAGCACCTGCTGGCTCCAACAGGAGCAGCATAGCCCTGTGAGTGACGACCAGACCGTGTGTTCTGGAAGATCAGAAGAAGGTGTGAGAGAAGTACAGGGCATCTGAGTTAGATCAAGGCAGGGAAAAGGGTCTGCGGAAAGCAGGGCGTGCCACTGAGCCGGGCCCATGAGACCGGAAGGAAAGAAAGTTGTTCTGTTTGGCTGTAATGCAGAGTCCATAGAAGGAAGAGGTGAACCACAAGGCAGGAAAAGGGATTCAGGCCAGGTCGTTCCGCTCTCTCTTTGGCCTCCTGCAGCAGGATTCAAGGCTCAGGGAGGGGCCACAGGTGCAAAGGCCCAGGGCGGGAGAGGACTTGGTGTGAAGAGTGCAGAGGAGGTTGGGGTAGCCAACGTCTGGTGAGCTGCAGGGCAGAGACTATGCATTTCAGCAGCAGCAGTAGTGCAGGTTCCTAAGCAGGCAAGTGACACCTGGAGAACAGACTGAGCAGGACTGGAAAGGAAAGAAAGCAGAGAGCCTCTGTGAGCTTCTAGATAAGGGATGGAGATGGTTCTCTCTGCCCTCGCGTCAGCTCAGATGAGACTAAGCCAAGGCCTGCTGTAACCTTGACTTTATCCAGTTTCCCAAGGCGTGGTTGCAAGATTGTGGTACATGTCGGGACAGGAAGGGGAGGGGAGTTTCAAGTGGACCTAAAGAGCACAGACAGCTGATGGGATACAAAGACTCTTCATGGATAAAGGGAGTGTTCCTGGGATATTTTTAAGCATGAGTAGGGTTTCAGTAGGATGCTACTGAAGAGAGCCTTTTAGAAACAGGAAGTAGCTACAGCACTGTAGAGGAAGCATGCAGAATTACCAGAGGTATACGGTATCTGGCTCTGTTGTTCAGAGAAAGAAGTCAACCCTAGAAGTGAAAATTTGGACATCATCTGCATGCAGTATGGTTGGCTGTGCAGGCATAGAGCTTCTCGCTAAAAAGCAAGAGTAAATTAAGGGTAGTGAAACCAGCTTCCAAAGAACCTTGGAGATTCCCACTAGTGGATGAAAAGCAAAAAGGGAGGAACCAGGAAGGGAGACATCCGTATTTACCAATGATCAAAAAGGAGAGACCTGCTATTTCAAAGCCAAAAGAGAGTACTGGTAAGGTCAGCAGTATGGTGTACTATAGAGGCCACCAAAGATTTGATATGACTTGCTGAGCTCACTATCTAGAAGATTCTTAGGACCTCAAGAACTCCTTAGTGGAGCCATCAAGGTAGAAGCTACGAATGCCAGGGTGAAGGACAAAGAGATTTGTTGAGTATGGAAAGGTAAGTCCACCTGCTGGGTGTTGTACCATATGGGTACCATTATCAGCCCATCAGTTCGTGGAGAGAGAAACAGGCTTGAATAGGTAAAATAACTTGCCTGAGGCACATCATTAGCAAAGGCAAGAGTCTGTGCATCAGGCCCACAGTCTGTGCTCTTATCAGCACTCTTCTTGGAATCTTGGGCAGGAAAGAGGAAAGAGGGAAGAGGGAAATAAGGCTGTCTTGATGAGAGAGGCGAGCCAAGGATGAGATATTTCTGTTCTAGTGCCGCCCCAACATGCCATCTGCTGATTCTTTCTGTAGACACATTTATATTTTAAGTAGTTGCCCTTGGATGTAAACTGCAAATATATATCTACTCTTCAATTGTCTGTAGAGTCGGACTTTACTGGAATGTTGGCAGTCCACTAGCTAATTAGGCTCTCTCTTTTTAGCAGTGAGAAAAAAGAGTTTTGAGTAAGTGGAGGAGGAGTGGGGGAGTTTCATGCAGGCACTGTGTCCACCAGGGTGAATCATTTGCCATTTCCTCCTGGTATTTAGGGATAAGCTTGTGTGCACCTCATACTTGGCTGAGGCACATCTTCTTATTTTGCAGTGTGGCTGCTGGAAGGTGAAATTCTCCCTGGTGCCTCCCGCCACTTATATCAGTTGTTTATCCAGCTCTTCGTTTTTCTGTGCCTTCAGTATCTGACAGCAGATGCAGAGACATCATGCCTACTGCTAACACTGCCCTTTATGGAGGAAACAGGGATTTTTGTGGCCATGAGCAAGAACAGTTATCTTAATCACAGCTCTGCACCTCTTTGTACCCTCATGTTGTGTGATGATTTGCAGCTTTTCCTAGTGGTCATTTTCTGTCACCACTTCATGATGTGACAGCTTTATTTCCAGGACCTACTTCAGGCCAAAACTCACATTTTCCCCCAAAGTATTGTTGGGCTTTACTGAATACATTTCCTTCTCTGTTAAGCAAGGCAGAGTTAGCTGGCAAGACAACATGTAGGCAACTAATTCTTTTTGCACTTCACAACCCCAAGATACGGGTGCTTTTATTGCTTCCTTTAGTTCATCGAATACAAAGAAGTAGCCCTGGTATGTGTGAGGTGGTGTGTAGGGGGTTGCTGTTCAGGATCTCTCTGTACAATAGAGAGGGAAGAAGATGTGACTAAGGCGCATTCACACCACTGACTGACCTCCTACTAAACACAGGACACAAAACATTGTTCCCAAAAATGATGCCACACTGCCCTCTAGAAGGCAGAGCTGAAAACTCCACTCGCTCCGCAGAGATGGCAACCAGAATAAGTGTGATGGCATTCTTCCCTATAAAATATTTATACCCTATTTTAAAAGTAATCTCATTTAACCTGGTGTTGACACCACATCAGTTCATGTAAATGATGTAAATTAAGTCTGAATGGCAAAGAGCAATGCAGCCACTTCATTTTCGTTTCACTCTTCACGTAGTCACTCACTTTGAGAAGGGAACAGCTACTTTCAGCTGTCAGCTATTTGGAAGCTCATTTACCACAGGTTAAGGGCTTCAAATCCATAATGTAAATCATTTGATTGACAGACCTTTGCCCCCGATGGCACAATCAATTTTCTATTGTGGAGCTGTTCTTTTCTCTAAGCAAATGAAAGAGCCCTGAACTAGGTTGGAGGGTGGAGGAAGAGGACTTAAAATATGCCCAAGGTAACCAGTGTCATTTCTGCTTTCTCTTTGGCTGTTCACGAAGACAAAGGGGTTGATGACCCAGGAGAAGTAACCTGTTTTTCAGGCAGTAATAAAGGCAGCACCTCTGAAGTTCAGTCCCTCAGCTCCTTCCAGTCAGATTCTGCTGATGACAACGGTAAGGAGACTTCTGTGTTCTATGTAGGTGGATTCTGCTTACTGTGCTGGAAAACAAGGCTTGCTGGGAAGGTGATGGACTGACTGGCTTTGCTTTTCACCTGTCCTGAGCTTTGGGGCATTTTCATCAGGTTTCTAATTGACTCTCTTGTTTCATGTCATTGCCAGAGGAACCCGCATACATTGCAGCTCTGAGTGGACCCCACTCGGGTTGACAAAGTTCCCCTGGGCCTCCAGTAGTGGATCTTTTTTGGTTTAGTATGTGATAAAACTATCTCATTCCAGGTGCTACTTTACAGCAGATAAAGAGAGCTAGTTCTTTTTTATTTTACTGATGATCTCTTCCTTCTTCACTGTGCATCCAACCTCCCCACCATTAGAAATTACTTCAGAGAAATGATACCTTTCTGTGAAGTCAGTGGCGTCCTGATTCACTGAATCTCCCTTATAATCATTTGGGGCCATGAGCTTTTGTAGATTTGATTAAAAATTGCCAGGCAGGTGGTATATGCCTGTTAAGCCAGCACTTGGGCAGTTGAGGCAAGAGGGTTGCCACAGGCTGGAGGCCAGCCTGGGCTACATAGCTAGACCCGTCTCAAAAATAAATAAATAAATAAATATGAACAAAATTCTATGAAGCAGTGCCTTAAGAAAATGTACTTCCTCCCTGAGTGTTGCAAGTCCTTCCGGCTCACAGACTACTTGATGACCCCAAAGCTGCTATTGCTACTTCTTATAAAGGTCCACCTAGAGAAGAGTGTGAAATGCTGATCTGAGGTTTCTGAGCTAAGGAACCAGCTCTGGAGGTTAGTTTGTTCTCTGCAGAGAAGGAAGGGAAAGCAGAAACCACTGTAGAATAGTAACTGTTCATCATATGGTGGTAAAAAAAATTAATTTCTAATCATTGCCACAGGGACAGGTTGCCTTACCATAACCTATACTTGGGCCATTTTCCCAATTATCAACAATTAGCAAAAATTCGGTACTTACTAATTTATCTAATCATTCAGTCCAGAAACCCTTGCTGAGTTTCTCCTGTGTGCTAGGTCATATCCTGGGCATTTTATACACAGAAGTGAAAAATGAAAATGGCACAGTCTACCTCCAAGGGAAATACAGGGACAGGTGAATTCCAGGACCATAAAAGTAATCATGGACTTGAAATGACCTACTTTCACCACCATTACCCACAGTGTCTTCCACTTGGAAGTACAGAAGCTTCTGTATCTCTCTGCTGAAATAGCGAGCCATGTAATGGTGGATTTCTGACCATTCACAGAATGTCACAGCTAAAGATCTTTGACCCAGATGTTTGACTCAGTGCCTCCTTTCTCATCCTCAGCCAACAGAAAAGCTATAGCTAGTTGGCCTTGTAAATAAAATGTCACGAACAGACAGTGTCCCACCCACAGGCAGCAGCGGCAGCAGTGTTGCCAGTTGACCATCTGTACAGGTTCTTGTAGGCATGCACTTGCCCTTTCATGACTCAGGCAGATGGTGGGAGGAACTTCCATCAAATTCATTTTAAACCTGCCATCTCCCCACAACCTGCAGGTATCAGCCACTGAAGAAACCCAAATAGACCATCTAGAATTCTATGTGATTTTAACTATTTGAGAGGCCAGTTGCTGACTTCTGTCCACACTATGAGCAGAAACTGGGCCTTCAATCCATCTGGGCTATCAGGGGCATCATGTGAGTGAGAAGCCATCGCATCTGCAGAGGGCATCTTCCGTCACTGGCGCTAGGCTCAGAGCAGCATGACTAGTCAGCGAGTAATTATCCCAGGGAACAGTGAGGTCTTCCTCTGAGAGCCTTTGGGAGTTGCTAATGAGAAATTAGCATGAACTTGATGAGCCGCTGCCTTCCTAGATTGATTTTACTGGGCCATGAGGTGTGAATTTATGACCCAGAAATCTCTGCCAGTCATGTATTTGAGAAGGACAGCATCAGACTTGCGGCTTTTCTTTTCCATTCCAGCAATCCCTGGATCTTCCCGATCAAAGTGTCCATTGAAACAGATCCTGAAAGACACAGTGTGAGAAGGCTGTCAGTGTTTACGTGCTGTATCTTCATGATTTTTGTTTAAAAAGTTAATGTGTTTAAAAGACACAACTAACCTGAAACTGTCCTTCCTTCCCCATCTTCTTTCCTACCACAAGCCTCCATAGTGACTGTCATTCAGCTTGTCAACAATGTAGTTGACAACATAGAGAATGAAGGTATTTACATTTTTCTTCCATAGTATTTCTTTGCATGAGGAGTTACTATTTTAGCAATTTTGTTCCCTTGTTACTTTGTACTAAGGATGATTTTAATCAACACAGGGCAATAAACAGGCTCTTTCAAACAAGACGCTTTCTGTATGGATTGGAATAAAATTGAAGAAAAACCTAGGTCATAGCTTTTTTAAATGTATGGGGTACTCTTATAAAATCCCTTCCAAGAGAAAAGTGTCCCGTTAGTTAGGGTTAGGGAATTGAGATTAACGTTGAATTCATTCTTGCATTCAACATGTATTTGTTAAGCACCGACTCTGAGCTGAAGATACTTACAAAAGCAACAAAAACTACAGAAGCATAGGGATTAATTTCAACCATATACCTTTCCTTAGTGATTTCCTAAAATTAGAGCATAATATGGGTAGGATTTATCTTTTTATTTTGTAAATAACAGTGGTGAAAATTTTTAAAAGGCTATACTCAGTCATAGCTCATAGTATTGTAGATGCATTTTTAAGCCTTTAAAATGCTCTGCTTTACCTCTCCTCATGTGATGTGGGTTGTCAGCTTTACTTTTTACTTTGTATTTAAACAGTGTCTGTCATGGACCAAGGACAAAACTACAACCGAGGTGACTGTTGTTACCCCAGCACACTTTATTTTGCCTTTTGCTTTGCTGAGTTCATTCTTGCCTGGCCCCTCCTCATCCCGTCTGAGTCTCTTTGATGTAACTTGTGCATGTTCTAGGTGTCTTGTGTGCTGCGTTGAAGGTGAAAGCGCCACCAGCATCTTCTCCCCTGTGTGCGATGCCTCCATTTGCCCGCACCCTTTCTTGCTTTCTATGGTCCACAGTGCAGTGGACGCATCTCTCTGTCAGCATGCAGCCGGTCTGGCTCCCGGTGCAGCATGTGGTAGGAAGAGTGCACCAGAGTGGGGATCAGGGGTTCTCAAACTGTGTCTGTTCAGCATGTCCTCAGTGGCATGGCTGAGTGTGGGCTCTGCAGCAAGCAGACACCATCTCCCCAAGCGGCCACTGCTTGTTCTCCTCAGAGCAGAGCATGTCTGACCCTGAGACACCCTTGTCAGTAGCACACAATGACCCCTGATGACCCCTGGTTTCTTAGGGTCTCCTGGAAGTTAAGAGTTGCATGCAACGTCCTTCTCTGCTCCTTTCCCAGCTGTGCCCCAATTCCAGTCTGACAGAATTAGCTTTAACTATCTTGGCATTTCTCTCACAGCCTACCACTGGGACACCTCTGACTGGATGCCAGGGGCACGCCTGTCAGACATAGAGGAAGTGCCCAGCTACGAGAACCAGGATGGAGGACCTGCACACCAGGGCAGCACCCGGGAGCTGGAGAGCGACTACTACCTGGGGGGCTATGACATTGACAGCGAATACCCACCCCCTCATGAGGAAGAGTTCTTGAGTCAGGACCAGCTGCCCCCTCCCCTGCCTGAAGACTTCCCAGACCAGTATGAGGCCCTGCCACCCTCCCAGCCTGTCTCCCTGGCCAGCACACTGAGCCCAGACTGCAGGAGAAGGCCCCAGTTCCACCCTAGCCAGTACCTCCCTCCTCACCCCTTCCCCAATGAAATGGATTTGGTGGGCCCTCCTGCCGGCTGTGAATTTAGTACTTTTGCTGTGAGCATGAGCCAAGGCACAGAGGCTACAGGCCCAGCAGACAGCGTGTCTCTATCCTTGCACAATTCCAGAGGCACCTCGTCCTCAGATGTGTCGGCCACCTGTGGCTTCGATGATTCCGAAGTGGCCATGAGTGACTATGAGAGTGTGGGTGAGCCCAGCCTCACCAACCTTCACATACCCTTTGTGGAGACTCAGCACCAGACCCAAGTGTAGAGGCCATGCCACGGGCTCCACGCCCTGTTGCCATGGAAAAAGTGGAAGGGGATCGGCTGGGCTTGTGTTGCAGTGGAGGACATTCTGTGGAAATATGGTATTTTCCTCAAGGAACTTCCTCGCAAGTTACAGTATTCACAAGCAAGCTTGACCCAGTTGGGTGAAAAGGAGAGGCTCAAAAATTGTTTCTGAGAGGGGGCCAAGAACTCTTGCAGTAGGTACCTGCATTCATGGCGAAGAACGCCAAGGAGAGCAGGAAATGAGCTCACTCACCACTTCAAACAGCAGATCTCGTACAGCTTTGTGCAGTATTGTGCCCTAGAAAGTGTGACAGCATCAGCCCTTGCAGTATTAATAACTGGCAACAATCAGAGAAATATTGTTGCATGTCATTTTGAGCCAATGAAATGAAAATAATAAATGGAAATAGTAGTAATGGTTGTTGAAGAAGTTAGTATCTTAGATGAACAAAAAGAGAAACAAATATCCAATGAGGAAATGGGCTAAAGCCTTTAAAATCAACTCTATTTTTTTAATAAGCCACCCAATTTTCAGCTAAAAAATTAGGTTTGAGTAACATGTTTAGTATGCTGTTTTTTTGCTTGTGTTAAGCATCCAGTATGATATAGTTGGGTTTTATGATCTTTGAGAACGTAATCAGTGAAGAGCAATATGAAGCTATCTGGGTTCCAACTTGTGGATTAGGAGAAGATTAATGCCAGTCAAACATTAGAAAGAATGTGATTATCTGGTTTCGTGTTTTCTGGTCAATTTTTCCAGGCATCACTATTATTCTATCTTGGCTACACAAATTGGCCTCTCTTCTTCTACTGTTCTCTAAAATGTGATTTAGAAGGTTAAGCAAAATTCATAAATTCAGGACAAAAAGAAAATGTGATACTTTCAAAATTTCAAGCTGAATAATCACAATTCTTAATAATGCAGATAAAAAGGTACATGTTATTCTAAATTCGTAGTATCATCATTATAAAATAATTACATTTTTAAAAAAGGAAGGTAGACTAGTTATTGTATATAAATGATAAGTGTGTGCGTGTCTGGGCCTATTACAAATATGTGCTTGCACTCGATGCCCAGTGAGGCTGCTCTTAAGGAAAGAAAGCATGAGGTTCCAGGAAAGGGCCTGTGCTGCAAGCCCTGCCAGCGCACACGCGCACCGTCCAGCTTCTCCAATCTCAGTGATGTTAGAGAAACACCAAATGCCCTATTTTACTTCAATTCAGTCAACTTAATTTTGGTACTGCCATTTGTATAAAGTTAAAGCAAAACTGTGCTTTTTAAAAACAGTATTTTATAATTTTCCAGAACAAACCTCAATTTTAAAAATGTGTAATATTTAATTATACCCTGGGGTTTTCCTCCCGTCTGACCTGTGAGCGTTCTCTGTGACTTTCCAAAACTGACAGGAGAATTATTCCACTGGAGATACAATAACCTGATACTTAAAAGTTAAAGTCAACAACTTGAGTGACTTTCTTCTTTTGCTTCAATCAGATTATGGCCACCCATGCAGTGACCGTGGTAAATACATTGCATATTTGCAATATCTGCTGAATGAGCAAATCTCTATGTTCAAAGTTTCTGATAATATCTGGCATTGGTGTGTAAATTGTACTGTCATGAGTCTACATATCATCCACTCAGACGTACTCTTCATTTTTTCAGTCATGTTTAATCCACTTACTTCACGGTAGGAGTTAGTGTTTCTGAACATTTGTCATTTTAAAAATTATCTCTTTTCATTCCCAAACTTCCTAAGTGGATACACTTCACAGGGTTTTCAGCCTTTCTTTTCCTTGTCTGTTGGTCAGACCTACTCATGGAGGCATTATCCACACTGTGGTCTTGAATTAAATGAATTTCACTAAAGCTGCTTTCGAGAATAAAGTCTTTGGCATTTTTCTTATGTAAGAAGCACATTTTCAAGAATTACAGAGAAAATGACAAACTAATGGGTTAGAATTGAATCACTGCTACATTTTTAATAATTCAGTGACATAAAAACCATCAAAGTAAAACCAACAATTCATTTCTTGCCTCCAGGAAATATTAGAAGGAGATTAATGCTGATGAGTCACTACTGCTTACACAGCATCTCTTCAAGGGAGAATGCCTGGCTGACACAGTAATGAAGGCATAAATAGATCCTAATGAAGTCACCAAAGAAAATGGTGCCTGCCATTTGCTCTGACCTATGTAAAATATCACTTTCTTCAAGATATTTTCCCTACTTTTTTGCAGAATACTTCTGCAATTAAATATATTCCAGATGAGCATATGTTATGTTTTGATCCATTATCTTTAAACACATGATACCTCTTCATCTTCTGGGAAATTACATTGCCCTGTAGATTACAAAATGGGTTGCAGTCAAGCCATAGTGGAACTAGGTGCGGTGACCACTGATTCAAAGAACTGATAGGGTCCTAAAGATTTGCAGGTCCAACACTCATATTTCATAAAAGAGGAAATATACCAAGACAGAGGAAGAGACTTGCCCAGGCTCACAGTGGAAGTTAAATATCTGAACAATGACTAGAAACATCCATTTGGACAATGTTCTCTGTACATAACATTGTTCACCACGAAACTGCACTGAGCATGGCAACCAATTGCTTCCGATGGACCCTCTGATCTCCCAACATTCCTTTTTTGTAATGCAAGGAAATATGTACGCTCCATGAATATAGACTATTTCTCTGGAATCTTCATAATCTTGTTTCTTTGCAGTACCCTACTCTCAGAAATGGTATGCTTAAAGAATTCATACATTTCTTTCGGTGCTCATCAAAATTCTACTTTTCCTAAATTAATGTTTCTAAAATTGGCATGAAGTGGTAAGTACAGAATTGAATTTAGGTCAGTCATCAATTATAGAGCATTTTTGTTTTTGTTTTTATTTTTCTTACCACTAGCACTGCTTGTTGTTTGTTCCTACCCCCTCCACCATGATGAACCACATGGAAAATACTTAAGCCACTCAGTATCTTTCCCTTTTTTCTGACACCTATGTGCCATCTCCTGGAAGCCATGTTCCACTACCCTGTTGTAGGCACTTTACTTGAATTGCACATGTTCTGGTCAGGTTGAGAGTAGCCGAGCTGTTGACATTAGTCATGCAGCACCTAGAAGCTATGAGGCAATAAACATTGAATAAAGTAGGTGCTTCATTTATTGCCATTCCTCTACAAGTATTTTGCTGCTGAGTCCCATTCATGTCTTGCTCTCAGTGTCCCCACTCATGAAACGCCATACGAAAAGACTTAGTAATGTAAATAGGTCAAGCCCATGCATCTGAGGTTTGCCCTATCATTCTAATCAACCAGAGCCCTAGAATGCGGATTTACTCTGGGATTCACCTGGGACCTCCCTTGGAAATCACTAGCACAGCCTGGAAAAAGGACAAGTAGGATATAGATTCCATTGGCCTTCTGCCTCTTTCCATCCTCATCCTACCCATTACCCTCACTAATGCTGTGTCTCCATATCAAAGTCAAGGGGGCTGAGGAGAGAGATGATCAAGATAAATCATTTTAAGACCAAAATAACATTTTTTAATAGAATGATTCAGAAAAACCTAGTGTTCATGTTGCATGGATTGTTCAGGTAATTTTCTGGCCTCTTCAGTCTGCTGCCCTGTCAGTACACAGATACTGCTAACATGGTTTGGCTTTGATGTTTTCACTTGCTTCAAGCCATGGGAAAAGCAGATGTGAAGAGGCATTTCTCTAGTGTAATCATTTTGTGTGGTCCATGAAGATGCTTATGTGTTTTTGCTGGTTTGTGTCCTGCAATGTTCAACTGCACATTATTCTGATGAATACCCTCAGTGTCTTCGAGCTTCTGATTACATAATACCGAGGTCAAAGTCACTATATGTGGGGTTGGTATCAGTTAATATTTAGCCAGCTGGCTAAGATGGGAAAAGAATAAGGTATTTCTTTCCTTACATATTAATGAAAAGCAATAATTACATGTAATAATACACAAAGGCCATAATTAGTCTCTTCCAATGTTTAGGATGCACTAGAGAATTGGACAGTGATATGGAGTGTGTTTGGACCCATTCGTATGTACTATAGCACCCTTCCAACAAGCAAACACCTGAATTGCTACTATCCAACGATTTTATGAGCCCACATTACTGCATTTTGGGAGTGACAAATGTGTTTGGAAAGGGAGGCCGTTCTTTTTAAGCACTGTATCAGAGATTGTCTTGTACATTTACCTGTTGTAAACAGGCTGGTTTGTAAAAGATGTATGTTTTGGTGTTTAAAATGTTTATAAAATTGTATATAAATGGTTTCAATTTTCCAGGCTTTTGTAGATACTATATTTGATGCCTATCAGGATGCTTTAATTTGGAGGGTCCAATATAATTCCAAGTCATCCATGCTGTTGTTCTCTGAACTTTTGCGGTAACTACACACACAAAACAGAGAATTTTAGATTTGAAAGTGATGTTTGTTAATCATTTCAAAATGTACTGTAACCTTTCTTTGGTTCTACTGTCTTCATTTAACTTCCTCTGTTATCAAGAAAATGATTTCTATTGACATTATTTAGGATGAATGTGTTTTCCGCATTATTAAGTACCTGACTATTGTACCATTTCAGTCAAAATGAGGCCCATCATTTCTTCACCTGCATGCGCACTCACCCAAATGTGCACACACCACACACCACACCTTATGCAAAAGGGAAAGCTGACACTTGAAGTGAAACTTGTCCCTAAGGGAAAAAGATTGTTTCTGCATATATTGCTGTGGGCAGTATTCAGTCTTGTGTTCTTAAAAAAAAAAAAAATTCAAAGCAAAACAAAACAAAAACACCACACACACAAAAGAAGGAAAACAAACTAACCACCACCAACAACAAAAACCCCAACAGTGTACAGGTTTGTAACTGCCAAAATTTGATGGTTAAAACAAGTTTTCGAGTAAAAAAAGAATGAAACTAGCCACTGTGTTGACTCTTTTTAAATGTTTCCTTTTATTTTGTCCTTAGTTCTTGCATGGCTTTTAGGAGGTTGTGTTCTGCAAGGCAAGGTGGGAAGGCCCTGCTCACTTTAACCTTCTTCTACCCTTCCAAGAGAAGGGACTCTGATCGGAAGCGGGGTGCCTTTGTTCTGTTGTATCTGATTCTTTCTCCTCAGAGACTTTTCACTTCCCAAAACACTCCTATTAATTCGACTCCACATATGTTGAAGTCTTATGTAACTTTTTACTGGGCAAAGACCCTGAAGCACCTTTTCCTGAGGAGAAAAGTGAAGAGAGTTGAAGGCTGGCACAAATAATAGTTACTGAGTTCCACTTCCACAAAAAAATCTCCCACGTGCATCTCACCTCTGCTGGGAGCAGCAACTCCACCACTTCCCTCCCTTAAAAAAGAAAAAAAAAGTATCAAACGTTTGGGCAAAGTTGGCATTTGAGTTTTTCCCCAAATCTGCAGAAACTTCCCTATATGGAGTGAAAGTCATTAAAATATACATAGCTCAGTGGAAGAGCAGTTGCCTTGCATGTGCAAGACCCTAGGTTCGATTCCCAGTACAAAAAATAATAATAAAATAATAAAAATTAATATATAAATATTGTATATATAAATTTTAGAAGGTTCAAATGAATGATTAGAAGAGGAAGTGAGATAGCGAGAAGCTCTCTAGAAGGAAGGAGGGGAGCACTCTCTGCTTCGCCCCGATAACGGTGAGTCAGGGCCTGTGGCCTGATCACAGCACAACAAGCCCAGAGGCTGCCGCTGAGCGGGCCCTGCCGCACCAATAACAGAATTCACGCTGCTGAGATCCCAGCACCAAGGTGCCATATACCCATAGGAAATGGCCGCAGCTTGGCACAGTTCTTACTTGAAATCTTCACTGATTTCAAGGGCTCACCCTGGCAGTACTCACTATATTGCAACACTCTGACTATCTCATCTATGGTCAGATGGAACTCGAGCAAGTGTTTAACAACTCACCGCAGTGGGGGAGCACCAATTTGTGGCATGTGCCAATTTCTGTGGTATAAATACTCCTATTGTGACTAATTTTAAGTCATTAAAGTAAGAGAAAGCGGTTCACAAGATTTCTGAAAGTCATGGGAATCTTAAAATAGGCACTCACAAGCCAATAGAAACTAATCTCATTGTACCAGGGCCTCCTCACTATACTACAGGCTACTTGAAGACAGAGTAGTGTCATCATTACCATCATATCCCAGATCTTCAGTACACATTGTGTTTTTATTGAAAATTAATCAATGACGCCTTCATTTAAATCCCTTTTCACCCCTAAACCGCATTTTGACAAAGGCAACCGTCTTAAATTACAAACTTTAGTAAGAAGGGTTTAAAGAGAGGCATTGGAGATGCTGAAGTGCCCTGCCTTTCGAGTGTCCTACTCCACACCTCTACAGTCATGCACTAGAAACAGGAAACCTTTACATGTACCTTTTACATGAAGCCACCCTTTGCAGAAATCCAAGTTCCTATGCATCAGCCAGAGGTCAGGCTTATAAAGCACACCTTTCAAAAGATAACAGTCAAGCCTTCCCTTTATTAAGCAGTTTCTCTTAAAATTTCCATCAAATTGATCCCGAGTTTGCCCAAACTCTTACCAATAAATAAATTTCTGCTTTTCACAGTGTACACTCCAAGAAGGTCAGAGCCCTCTAAGTAATCTTCATTGACCTACACCTCAAGTCTTTATCTGCCTTTTGCCATCAAGGCAAAGGAGCTGTCCAATAGTGTTCTCCCCAAAACATCCTGAGTAAATGCAAACTGGTCAACAGAACAGTTCTGTCAAATTCAGGATTTGTGCAAAAATCATCCTTAGAGAGTTATAGATAACTAGTAGTTTCTGTACACAAAAGTTTATAATTTTTCAACCTAGAGATACAGCTGGAAGTAGGTTGTTCCTTTTAAAAATCCTTTCCACTTTCCTCTCCATTCTTTTGCTTTTTAAATTTTAATTAACTTTCAGACAATTATGCCTACTCTATACCATCTCAATAAGGAGGATTTGGAGCAATCTAAATATGAGATAATAAGTGATAACCTGAAGCAAACTGGTAGAGGAATTAAAATAGCCTAATGAACCACGCAGCAACAAATGACTTAATGGAAAATTTTAAAAGATCTTTTCTAAAACTGTCACTTCAGTTTTTGTACTATAGGCTGACTATCCCTTACATGAAATGGTCAGAACAAAAAATATTTGGATTTCATTTTTTTAAATTTTGGAGTATATGTATAATATATCTTTGGATTTGGAGTCCAAGTCTAAACATGAAATTCATTTATGTTTCATATAGATCTTATACATATAGCCAGAAGGTAGTTTTATACAATAGTTTTAGTGAGTCTGTATCTGTCACATGAATTCAAGTGTAGACTTTTGTGAAAAGTATTAAAAAGTTTTCTAATTTTGAAGCATTTTGGATTTTAGATTTAAGTTTAGGTATGCTCAGCATGTATTATTTCATTTTCTTATTTATAAATCAATGTAAGATCATTTCAAAAATGAGAAAGTGAAGACAGACAAGAAAAAATGTCATAAAGAAGCAATATATATTTCTTTAATACTTACCACTAAGATCTTATCACAGTATATTCTTCCAGGCCATTTTCTATGCAGACATATATGGTATATATTTATTTCTTTAAGAAAGGAGACCTTTATAAATATAGTTTTGTATTTTTCAAAACATAACTCCAAAGTAACAAATGACTACTTTCTCGTGAAGATAGAAACAATATAAAACCACTCAAAGCAGAACATTAAGATCCTCTTTACTTTGCCGCTATTTTTCCACACCACTTCTCCTTCCAGCATAACCAGGATCACTTCTTTAACAATATCAAAGGCACTCTTTAAGCCTTTATATTCAAATTTTCTTCTCAGGTGCCTTTTTATGGTCTTCATTTATTATTTTCTTTTTCCATGTTTTATGCTCTACCGTACACTCCCAAAGCATTCCAGTAGCCAACCAGCTCCCCCACATCACTGTCTCAGGCTTCATGACATCCTGCATCTTTGCAATATGTTCCCTGTTAGTTGACAGTAGGTTGCACTGAATTGCACTAAGTCTATTGAGCCTACAACCACCAAAAGCCAGAGCAGCGGAGTCTTTGACCTCAGACTCCAGTGCTAAGTGGGGAGAGATGCATTGGAGTAAAGACTATATTTACGTGATTTCAGCTCATTGATGAGGACTTTCTTAGTGTAGCTATTTTTGTTTCTACCCAACTTTATAAGTGTGAAGGATTCAGATGAGGGAAATTTATGTCTGTACATTTTATGAACTGAATGTGTGTCTCCCAAAATGCATGTGTTGAAATCTAAACCCCAGTCTGATAATATTAAGAGGCTGAGGATCTGGAAGGTAATTAGGTTATGAAGGTAGTGCTTTCATCTATAAATAATGGAATACTACTTGGCTATAAAGAAGAATAAATTGGAGACCATAGGAAAATGGATGTATCTGGAAAATATAGTGTTGAGTGAAGTATGCCAGTCACACAAGATTAAATACCATATGATTTATCTCATTAGAGTAAGGCAAAGTGCAAAGAACAAGAAGAACAGAAGAAGGAAATAGATCTCTTGCAAATGGTAAGAAGTCCAGGAGACCAAGGCTGAGAGGAGAAGGGGAGGAAACGGGGAAGTACATACATGAGCCTAATAAATTCAATGAATGTAAACATTGCATGGCACAAACACGAGCTGAGAATAATAATAACAAGAATGAAATTGGGAAATGTAGTGGGGGAGGTGGGTGGAATCAGAAGGGGACTAAAAAAAAAAAACATGTACATGTACCTACTCTCAAGATGAATATAGACACCATGCATTGCAAACACGTACAAATAAAGAAAATATATTAATAAATAAGGATTAGTGCCCTTATAAAAGGAACCCCAGAGAGTTCGCTTACCCTCCTTTTGCTTGCTATGTGAGAGTACAATGAAAATTTGGTATTATAAAGACCCTAGAAGACCATCACAAGAAGCCAACCATGCTAGTACCTTGATCCAAGACTTTCTTAGCCCCCCAACCATGAAAAATAAAATCTTGTTGTTTATAAATCTTTCAATCTGTGGTAGTGTTTTTATAAGCAGACCAAAACGACAATGTGCACAGGTACCTACACAGATGAGGAGCTGCTTCATAGGATCCTTTTCAATGGATTGTCCTGAAACATGTTCTGTTCATTTAACAATGTCTTGGACACCTTTACACATCTAAGCTGTATGGCTGTATGTAATGCCTATATGGTCTACCACATTGCACATTCCATAATTTATTAAATAATGCTCTTACTGATGGGTTTTTTTTATGTTGTAGTATTACAGACAATGTTCCTTAGAGCATCACTGTGCAGTTATGCACATGTGGTAGAATTTCTGAAGGATAGATTTCTGGAAGTAGAATTTTTAGGGCAAACGATATGTCTTTTTAAGTCTGAGAATTTCTTCTTACTTTAAATTCTAAATGTTTTTCCCATATAATAATACCATTAATAGTTACACATACTAACTTACACATCTCACTCCACCAAGAGCACAGAGCCAGCCCCATGTTCTGGAAGTTATGCTGGCCCTCCAGATTCTCAGGACATCCTGAGTTGGGGACTGCCATGGCTCCTTCCTGCCACCATGAGAACTGGCCCTGTAATTCTCCCCAACTGTGGACATTGTTACCTATGCTGTTCCTCTCTGCCTGTCCAAGGCAGGCACACAGAGGAGGGTTATATGTCAGGTGGGCAGGATCATTGAGAATGAACTCTGTGAAGCACCACATGTTTAGCTCTCAGGCCATGCATTTGGACAAGAGGACCCAGGAAAGATAAATTTTACCAAGAAAATATAAGCAGATACTATGAAACCTGAATGCAGAGGTTCTCATAACACCGGTCTAAATGATCATTACTTCATAACCTTTAACCTTGACATTGTTTATCTCT